GAACTATCCTCCGACGTACAGGATGCCCTCGAGGTACGTCCTGGTGTTCGCCTCCCGCGTCCATGGCAAGGGATTAACGCCTTCCAACCCCAACTCGTGGAGGGCAGTTGAAATGTGGGACTTGAACTATTGATCAGTGGGATAGGTGGCGAAACGATACACTGGCTGGCTGACTCGGGAAAAGTACCTAAAGTCCACATCCTTCAGCTTGAATGAAATGGGACCTTCATCTGACCTACATGACCAACACTCTGGATACAAATCTCTATCTGGTGTCAGGACGTACCAGGTGTCTTCATCCACTCTCCAGACCAGAATTCGCTCGTGATACACATCATCATCAGTGTACCACACAATGGCCTTCTGGCCGGGCCGGCATTGTGACAATGCCTCCACCTCGTCGCCTCGAGGACGTAGGTGAGCCATGCGCTGGACTAGAAGGACTAGCTGACTTGATCACCAGGGCACTGATTGAGGCTCCCAACAGAATCCCAGAGGACAAAATCCAGAAAACAGTTGAAACAGCGGGCGGTGATTCAACGCAGAGACACTGGCAAGAGCAGGTTTGGTTCAGTTGATACCCAGTTTCACTTGAAGAAGATTCCTTAGGCCAATGTCTGTATCCCACTTCCACCAATCCAGTGCAGCGGGAAGCCGTGACTTCAGGTCGAGGTTGCGCCGGGTGCGCCGGGTGCGCCGGGTGCGCTGGTTGCGCCGGGTGGGTGCGCCGGTTGCGCCGGGTGCGCTGGTTGCGCCGGGTGCGCCGGGTGCGCTGGTTGCGCGGGGTGCACCGGGTGCGCTGGTTGCGCCGGGTGCGCCGGTGCGCTGGTTGCGCCGGGTGCACCGGGTGCGCCCGGTGCGCCGGGTGTGGTGCGCTGGGTTTTCCGGGTTAGCCGGGTGCGCTGGGTGCGCCGGGTGTGCTGGGTGCGCTCTATTGGCTGAGTGTGCTCTATTATTGGCAGGTGCAAGCGAACATTCTGCAATGTAGCGTGGAGCAAAGCATCAACTCTGTGTGGAGGAAGGTGTAGGTGAAGAGTAGTTAACATCAAGCATGCGTGCTACGTGGACAACCTGCAGTGTACCATCAAGAACAGAACATGCACAAGAGCAAGTCAACATTCTGTATATTTACATGGCGGCAAGGATGTGTGCAAGTTAAAGCGAACATTCTATACAATGTAGAGGCCCCCCTGTGCAAGTGCAGGTGAAGATTCTACAGCGTAGCATCAAGGCTAAGGCTGCCTCTAAGATCATGTTAGGTTAACAAAAAAAAATATTCTGATTCTTGAGGCTGTTCTCTGACAGCGCAATTAAGATTCTAAAAAAACTCGGAAATAGAAAACAAGTGAATAGCAAACAAGTGCACAATATTTTGTCCAAGATTGTTCAAGTTCGAAAATAGCAAACAAGTGCACAATATGTTGTCCAAGATTGTTCAAGTTCGAAAATAGCAAACAAGTGCACAATATGTTGTCCAAGATTGTTCAAGTTCGAAAATAGCAAACAAGTGCACAATATGTTGTCCAAGATTGTTCAAGTTCGAAAATAGCAAACAAGTGCACAATATGTTGTCCAAGATTGTTCAAGTTCGAAAATAGCAAACAAGTGCACAATATGTTGTCCAAGATTGTTCAAGTTAGAAAATAGCAAACAAGTGCACAATATGTTGTCCAAGATTGTTCAAGTTCGAAAATAGCAAACAAGTGCACAATATGTTGTCCAAGATTGTTCAAGTTCGAAAATAGCAAACAAGTGCACAATATGTTGTCCAAGATTGTTCAAGTTCGAAAATAGCAAACAAGTGCACAATATGTTGTCCAAGATTGTCCAAGTTTCTTTTGACAAGGTTTAAGCGATGGGAAAAAAAACGTGATTTGTGGATAGACATGAAAGATAGAAAGACAAAAAAGGCAGACAGGTAAACGATAGAAATACAGAACGACGAAACGACTTGTGGGGTAGAAAAAATATGGAGATAGAACGATAGAAAGAAAAACCCGACCGCGAAAGAACAATAGCTAGATTTAACTTACTATACTTCGAGTGTTCCGCACCATGGCATTTCAAGACATACATGTATTCTGACATGTTACCCAACATTCTGACATCTATTCTGACATTCTGTTGGGCATTCTATCTGACAGATATTCCCTTTCACTTAAAACAAAGAAAAGATCAATCATATATATTAAAAGCGGAAAAGGTAGATAGATAGCTGCAAGTGTACTCGGTGCACTCGGTGAACTCAATGCGCTGCAAGTGCACTCGGTGCACTCGGTGCACTCGGTACACTCGGTGCGCTGCAAGTGCACTTGGTGCACTCGGTGCGCTGCAAGTGCACTCGGTGCACTCGGTGCACTCGGTGCACTCGGTGCACTCGTTGCGCTGCAAGTGCACTCGGTGCACTCGGTGCACTTGGTGCACTCGGTGCACTCGGTGCACTCGGTGCACTCGGTGTGCACACTGTGCGCAGTCACTGATCGCAGCCGCAATGCACCAATCTAGCCAACCAAAAAGGATTGCCAGGACCGGACCGAAGGCTTCATGCGCACATCCTTTCATGCTTGAGCAATCCACACACGCATGGATCTTTCAAATGGAGAAGATCAGGTTTCCATGCGCTCGATGTACTGCGATGTCAGCTCACTTCTGAAGCACTTCACATGCGGAAAGTCTCAAGAACCCTTCAGCAAGTTTCTGAATCTAAACATCGACAGGATGACAGGCGTGGAGTGAATACCGTCAATTCAAAATGTTCAACAGCTTTCAGTCTTCTTGTGTGAACACTTCCATATTCCAATATCATACAATATCATACAATATCAAATGATATAGTGACATGCAATGTAGTGTCATGTAATGTACTGTAATAGAATGTGGTATGGTGAAATTTAATGTAGCCGAGTGCAAGGTAAGATAAAGCAAAGTAAGGTAAGATAATGTAACGAACCGTAATGAAAACTTACGTGACCCAGCCTGCTTCGATGCAGTGTAATGGGTTGCCTATCCACTTTATTCTGTTTGCATTTAGTACAACATTATGCTATGGAATGGAATGTTGCATTCTGTTGTGATGTGGTATGGTATGGTACGGTATGCAGATGCCCCAAATTGTCACACACTGTATTTTGGAGAGGTGCGATGGTGGCAATGACTCCTTTCTTCTTGATCTTCTGAACATCAGCTATAAATAGCCAAGTACAACGCATAGCGTCTGTGCTTGAATGGTACACACCAAGAAGGCTGATGCTCAAAACATTTCAAAGCAAAGAACTTCTCTGTGGTATTCTCCATGGTTCAAAGGCATGATATGGAAACGCTGTTGAGCAACTGCCAAACATTGAAAGGACGCATTCGAAGGCAATTCGACTCAAGATGTTCTTGAAAAAGGAGCACGTTGCCCTGCAAACTAGCCATTTCAACGTATGATGTCGGAACATCTGGCCTCATCAACCAAGAGTATCCAAGGTATCCAGGTCAAAAGCTCTGATAGCTTTTCGCAACCTTTGCAACTCTTTTTGCATGAGCTTCGGAAAGCGGTCGCTCTGGGGCAGAATGGTGCATGCTGTACTGACTAAACCAGCCAAACTCATTCGCTCGAACACAATGCGAATTTGGGTCGGAGTAAGAACTGTCGGAGCTGGAGATCTTGGAGAACGCACCGAAATTTCCGACATGAGTAGCTGGAGCACGACGGCCGCGTCTAGCTCAGTGCCCTGGCGAGCTCATTCAAATATGGATAGATGTACGCCATGTGTATCTGTATGTACACATATCTGTATGTGTCTATGAGTATAATTACGTGTATGAATATATAGATGTTTACGTTTACATATCTATGTAGATACATATATGCGTGTATGATCATGTATATATATATATATGTGTGTGAATCAATATATATATATATAGAAATAGATATGCTGTCGACCACGCCTCCACACGTTTACGAACAAATGGCAGGAGCATCTTCAGGAAGGTGACTTTGGGAAGCTCCTTCAAGTAGCTGCGTTGTTGCTTGTCGAGGGTTCGAGGCCTCGATTCCTCAGATGTTGCTGGGATGGGCATGGAAGTGAAAATAACTAAAAGATGTGGTAAACTATCGGTAATTTGACCTACACCCATGTGATGTTGGGAACTAACAACTAATGACTGGAACTGCCTCAAATTTTAGAATCTAGAAGCCCAATGTTTATCATATTTTAGCATGGTTGATCATCATGTTACAACATTTTCGAAGTCTGGGGCATCCCTCATGTACAAACCGGACAAACCCGTGTACTGTTTCGCCCTTTATTCCCTTTCCTCCCTATCCCAAGAAAATTGCGCTGTGTTTGACTTCAGACCAAGCATCGTGAGGCAAGTGGCAGAAGCCACATTTGTTTCCCTTGTAACATTTATTGCATAGGAAGAGGATACACGGCCGGGCACACACATTTGGATGGCCGTAGCTTCCACGCGATAGATTCACCTAGCGATGCCATGATGAGAAGAGCTGACCATGTCTTCACTGTATGGGGGTTGAATAGCCGACATGGCTTGGCGATTGTTATTCAACATGATTCGACAATCCACAAACACAACTTGGGACCTGATTTGATCTTTTAGATCCAGCCACTAAGACACTATGAAGCAAGAGCTGGGTGCTTCTCAAACAACGGTCGATAACTTGGTGCGGTGAATTTTGGGTTCTCTGATAGTATGGTACCCGTAAATCCGGTGGTTGATCCTTAGTTTTGCTACTAATTGATGGCCATTTGAGGGGTATACCCTATCTTTAGACATGCCCAAATATCATGTGTTTGGTTGCGTATCCCACTACATCCCATCATTTCCCCATTGTTGGAATATGTGTGTATATATATATACTGTACACAACACCCAATGTTTGTGTTGTACATCCACATTCTCCCTATGAACTGATAGCCATAACTCGGGTATACCTTGCCTCATTGCAGATCGCCAAGTTCTCCGCATCCAGGAGTTGGGATCCCTGGTGCAATTTCGACACCTGGCTCGCTTTCACAAAACGATGCTAAGGGCCGAAGTCTTACGTGATGCGGTAAGTAGCGTATTTTTTTAATGTGTATTTATGCACCAAGAACGCACGGTTGCTTTCACCCACACAACCCTGCTGGTGATCTACGTTGTGGTGCAACCGCAAGCACCACTGGACAAACTCACCCGCAGGTGGCCACCACTTGTAGGTGCTGGTGCAGTCACCTTCACAACCTACCCGGGTGGCAGAGGGAGGGCCAGCTTGAGCCCCAAAACCACGCCGGTGCATAAAACGACGTCCAACTGCTAGCAGTGAGGACTGTTCTAACTATATGCACCAAGAACGCACGGTTGTTTTCACCCACACAACCCTGCTGGTGATCTAGGTTGTGGTGCAACCGCAGCTTTGCGGCAAAGGGACCAGCACCACTGGACAAACTCACCCGCAGGTGGCCACCACTTGTAGGCGCTGGTGCAGTCACCTTCACAACCTACCCATCCTTCAAAAGGCGAAAGAAAAGTACAGGCACAACCGCCCCGCTTTTGGTCATTTTGCGTAGCGACCCGTTGAAAGATGGCGACGAAACTGTCGCAACAAAGTCACGGACGCATCCGGAAGGGTAACATTCACCAGCATCGCACGAGCATCATCCAAATATAATCTGCAAGTGCGTTGATCTTTCCAGCGGCCCTGCACCATGACGAAGTCAAGGGACTTCAAGACCACATAGAAGTGGGTTGCTCCTCCTCTGCGCAAGGAGTAGGGGACAAAAGAAAGAGGAGTGAGAAAAAAGAAATCGCACAGGGAGGTAAACGATGTACGAAAAAGAGTGGGGGACCATGGCCACAGCCAGACATCAGAAAGTTCTTTCAAGGCAAAGGCTGTCAGGGCCGCCACTGCTGTATGCTCTAGCGTGAGAGCTTGTAGATGCTGTTTGGATGTCTTTGTCCGACGCAGCCGAATGACAATTGAATTTGCTGGGAGTGAAACCTCAATATCAGAAACATGCAGGGCTAGCACCTCCTGAGTACGGAGAAAGAAAGCGAATCCCAGAAGCAGACAAAGCCCCAGATGGTACCACCGCTCATGCCAGCACAATCCCACCAGAGCCTGTAGGACTCTCCACGGCATAGGAGTGGCTCTCTCAGGGGGTATGTTCACGAGCCCAGTTTGTGTACCACTGCTGAGCCAAACACAATTCTTTCCGTACCCTCGGGTAGAAACGGCGCAGCCCGCTCAGCAACCACCCTGCTTTGCTGATAGATTCACCTTCTTGGAATAGGTGGTTGATGTAGTCGGCGACTCTTTGGTCTAACAAAGGGTATGATGATGGCAGCGGCAGCCGCATGAATTCAAGGTATTCAAAGAATAGTGAAACTTCTCGCCTGTATAGCTGGACTGTCCTCTTCTGCGCCCCCATGTATTTCAGATGTGGTTTGCGTGGCATCACGGTTTTTCAAATTTGCGGCTCCCGTAGTCCGCAAAGTTCCACTTGCTGATTGTCCACACATGGAAGGGTGTCAGATCGGCAGCCAGACTAACAGCCGCAATGCGGCGCACCAGGCGATTCAATTTGGCAGATGACCTGCCCTTTGTCATGCAGTGAAATGTGACCTGAGAGTCCGTGATGTTGATGAAGCGGCTACCCACTAAGGCGGGGTCACGAGCTCTCCGCCTGATTTCCACCAAGAAGGCTGACACCTCACTTAGATGGGCTGGGGTGTTGCTAACAAGTTAGCAAAATTAAGCCAATTAGCTAACAGTTACTAACTAGTTATAACTAATTAAAAAAGTTGCTTTTTTTCTCACAAATCATCAAAAATTATTTTAAAAAAGCACATGTAGAAAATTACAAGATGTGAATGTGTCAGCCCAATTTGGCTCAAACATACAACATGAAAGCCCTGAAAGGCTACCCAAAAAACAACAGGTTTCTAATTATGTTACTCTTGCAATGCCACATGAGCACACCATGGCCACATCACAAATTCTCAAAAAAAAACATTCTGCAATGCAATTGAAAGCTGTTCATTGTAGGTGTCTTCAACTTTGGGCACACATTTTTTTTTCAACCCATGGCCAACAAATATGCTGGGGTGAGACATGTGACTTTGCCTTTGGCACTTGAATAAGTCACAGGACAAAGAAAGTCTTCCAAAGACACCAATGTCAATTGCCTGGGTGTTGCCACAACCCATTTTGAAACCAATCTTGATGTTGCCTTTTCCCCAGCATTGTACTTCTCCACAAGGGCTACATCCACAAAGGCAAACCGCAAGAAGCAATGTACTTGCCCTGCACAGAAAGGCAATGTTGAAGCAGATTGTAAATATACCACATCCCCACAAGTGATTGTAGCTCCTGAAGCCAATCTACATGATGAGCTGCACATGCATGTGCCACCAAGATGTAGCAAACCAGTGCCATGAAGTGCTGCCATCATCTTCTTGGTGGGCTGCCTGGGGTTTTCCAAGAAGCACCATGCCTTGAAAGTTTCCACGTGAGTTTCCAGGGAATGAATGTGCTCAGCAATCACTGAAGCTATCAAAGAACTTTCATATGCTGATGTGTTGCACAAAAGGTTTGCATGTTTTCTGATGTCCTTGTGCTTCCTTTCCAAAGACCATACTCCAAGGAGTATGCCATGAAGCTTCAAGGCATCACTGAAATGCAATGGCCAATGCATTTTTGGCCTGAACTCACTTGACCAACCTGCTGTGATGGTAGAAGCCAGAGCTTGCTCAACCAAAGAAAGCAAATGATGGTGGTCAGGTTTTTGCAATGCAGGGATTGCCACACAGTAATTCAACACTTTGCACCAAGCCAAAAAGCATTGGCAAGCTGAAGTGCACAGCCTTTGGGGAGAGCAGCACAATTCCACATAGTATGCCAAGATTTCACAAACACCAAGCATTTCACTTGCTGAGCACTTGAACTTGGATGCTTTCTTATGCGATTCCACTGCTTTGGTGTCAAAAAGCTTGTGCACAGCAATCTTGCCCTTGCTTGGCCGCACCCACAATTGCACAAACCCATGAAGCTGCATCCAAATGTCAAGCACACCACTGTCATACAGTGCTTGTATCATCAGAAAAGTAACCCAATTCAACACACCATTTGAAGCCAAACCATGCATAAAATCATGCATGTATTGGCTGATGGGTTGTAAAAGGTTTTGTTCCCTCAATATGGGGCTGGCCAAGAGAGCTTGCTCAGACCAATCAATGCCAGCTGCTTGGCTCCATTTTTTAAACTGTGCCTTGCTGCATGTTTTGCTTCTGCTTTGCATCCTTGACCATGAATCAAGAATTTCCTGGTCAGTTGCAATATCAAGCTGGCAATGCTTGATGTACTTTGAAATTTCTTTTTGGCCTTCATCATCATTGCTGGATGTTATTCTGAAAATATTTTTGCAAGCCATACACACTCTGGACCCACTGCCCTGCTTGTTTGAAAAAGTGAATTTCTGAGCACTGCCATCTTGGAGAAAAAAACCAAGGGTCCAGTACAGCTTCAGCCTTGCAGGGCCATGTTGCAGCAACACACCAGCATGTGGGTGTGCAAATTTGTTTCCAAACATATGCTCAAGGATCAACCTAAAGCACTGCCCAATGTTTGCCTGCAATTGGCCAACTTGCTCAGACCTATGGACAAACAAAGTGAACCAAAGGTCAGATTTTGACAAATCTTTTCCAAATTCAGCAAATGAGAAATAAATTGTCCATGTCTTCCTTGCATTGCTGGCCAATTGGTTGCCAGGGTGAAGTTCATCTGCATAAAGGATGCATTTCCAAGGCTTGTCATATGAACTGGGGCAATTGGAATGCACCCTTTCAAGGTATTCAGCAAAAGCACCTCCAGCTGCATAAGCCCCTGCTAAATAGCTGAATATGTTGGCAAAAGTCAAAGTTGCAGGTGCACCCAGCAAAGTCACTGCAGACATTGTAACTAACAAGGGGCCATACAGCTGCATGCCCTGCACCAATTGCTGAACAGATGACCTGATATCTTTCCTTTTGTGGCAGTCAGGTATCCCTTCTTCTTTGGCAAGTGTAAGAATTGCTGCCAATGCTGATTGGCTGCAGAAAGGAACTCTTTGCCTAAAACTTTGCAAGGTGGCAAAGTCTGGCATTGCTACAGCATTGAAGAGTTGTATTCAAAAATATTGTTTTACTGAAATTCAAACATATCATTGTTGCTTCTGTATGAAGTCATGTTTGCTGGACTGCTAGGCCAGTGATGCAAAAATGCTTGCTTGGTTGCCCAATGAAATGTTTACTGTGCCTTTGGTACCTTTGCTTTTGAAAAATTCTTTGGCTGCATGCATTGAAAAGTGTATCACAAAGACAGCACACACACAACCTAACAACTTTATTGGGCATATGGCTGCTTTCAAATGAAAACAAAAAGCCCTCAAAGGCTGACATGAAAGTGGAAGCTCAAAAAGCAAATTGGGCATATGACAAGCATGAATTTAAAAAAATGCAAAGCCCTCAAAGGCTGATATGTGAAATGAAAGCTCAAATAGCACTCTCATGCAGACAAATGGTGGGTAGCCAACCATTGCTGTACTGGCATGTAATGTTTCCAAGTGTGTGTGTGTTGGCCAAATGCAGACCTTGAGAAATCAATTTCTTTTCCAAGCAAGGCTTTGTGCATGCTATCACAAGCATGGCTTCTAGCCAAACACCCCAAGCCCCATTGTCAAGGCCACAAGAGAAGCAGGAAATGATTTCACTTCCTGTTGTTGGTCTGTTTCTGCTGGTACCACTTGTTGTACTCAGCTCTGGAACTGAATCTCTTCCCATTAAAGTAGGGAGACCTGCACACATCACATCCTGCAACATTTCCTCTGCACCTGGTGCAGCCATAGATTTTCTTCAGAAAAGCAGGTGTAACATGCTTTGTCTTCTGAGCATGTTTTGTTTGATCCTTGGCAACTTTGGTCTTGGTGACAGCTTTGGCCTTGGCTGCTGGTTTCCTGGCAGCAGGCCTTTTCATTGCAGCATCCAAAGCATTGGCTTGCTTCTGTGCAATCTTCTCCATAGCCTCTTTCTCATAATCCTCAAGACTCTTAGCAGCTGCACTGGTTGCATTCTCTGACTGGCTTTCCTCTTGAGCTGCTTGGCTTTGAGGAGGGGCAGGCAAAGGAAGAGGCTCAGGAGCAGGAGCACTAGCCAACTGTTTTGCACTCAGCAAATTTGACACTGTACTTGAAGATGGCAGAGGTGGAGTGGGCATTCCATGCAGCAAAGGCCCCTTGTCAGCCATGGTAGCCTTGATGGTATCCAACTCCTTGGCTTTGTCCAAGAGATTGGTCAAAGCTTCATTGCTCAGATGCAGCAGCTGCCCACCAGCTTGATGAGAAGCTCCTGTTGGTACTTTGTGAACTTGCTCCCCTCTCACCTCTTTGGCACTGCCTCTAACCTTCAACTTCTGCAGGATGGTGGGCATATTGGACAGACACCCAGGGGCTTCTCTCAAAGGCAAATTGTCAGCACTGTAGCAAGCATCCAGGAAAGCCTGCCATGTTAAGCAAGAAGACTAGCTAGTTGTAAGGCTGACAGTCTCTTGCATCAATACTGCTTAACATTACATACTGCATGTTAACAAACATAACCTTTTCCAACCACTAGCCTGTCCAAGGTCAAAGGGGCTGGGAGGATACTTTGCCAAACCAGTGCACAAAGGTTGCACCATACAAGCTGGAAACGTATCATGGACAAATTGGGACAGTTTGTACATCTCAGCAATTGGTGGAAGAACTTGTGTAGTTCTCATCTGCAGGCAAACTAAGAAAGCTGTGAGGTGCTTCTTGGAATCCTCTTTGAGGCTCTTCAATCCACATAGCTTCATCCTTTTGATAACAACATTGCAAGCATCAACTGTGTTGGCTCCATCCAGCACCTTCTGCCACTCAGACTTGGACAAGTAATTGTATGGCATTGTCATACTCTGAGGCCTGTTTTGCAATCTAGTAGGACCTTCTAGGGAAGCAACAGTTTTCTCCTCAAAGCAAGTTTCCAGCTCTTTCTTCATAGCATCTGGTAAAGAGCTTTTTTCCAAAGCATCCATCAAAGCAACATAGTTGGAAGCAGAGATCAATTGGACCCCTTGCATCTTTGCCATCA